CAGTCACCTCTCTTCCCGGCCCTTCTTCCCCAACCCTCCTTCCCTCCATCCGTCTCTCTGGGTATGTCTACACTACAGCACTATTTCGAACTAACTTAATTCGACTTAGTTAATTCGAACTAAGCTAATTTGAATTAGTGCATCTAGACCTAAAAACTAGTTCAAATTAGCATTTTGCTAATTCAAACTAGCATGTCCACACTGAGTGGACCCTGAACCGGGGTTAAGGCTGGCTGGAAGCAGTGCTGGCAGGGCATCAGATTAGGACTTAGAGCGTGGAGCTGCTGTCTCAGGCTAGCCGAGGGCTGTGCTTAAAGGTACCCGACCCCCACCCTGGACAGACAGTTCTCAGGGCTTCCCCGCTTGCAAAGCAGTCCTGGCTTGGAGTGCCCTGAGTGCCCACACGGCACATCACAGCACTCGGCCATCAGCCGAGTCCGGGGCAATAGAGTTTCCCTGGTGTTGCCCAGAGTGGCCCCCAGGGAAACCTGGGGAGGGCTAGCCTCCCACTAGTTCGAATTAAGGGGCTACACACCCCTTAATTTGAACTAGTAAGTTCGAACTAGGCTTTGTCCTCGTACAATGAGGTTTACCTAGTTCGAACTACGCGCTCCGCTAGTTCAAATTAAGTTCGAACTAGCGGAGCGCTAGTGTAGCGCCTATGAAAGTTAATTCGAACTAACATCCGTTAGTTCGAATTAACTTTGTAGTGTAGACATACTCTCTGTTCCTCACACTTTCATTCTTCCTCTCCCTCCATTTGCATTGCGCTGTCCCTCCTCTCGGCTTCCAAGCACCCCCTTCTGGGATCCCTCCGCGCTGGGTGCCCTGACACGGCTGCTTCATCGCCTCGGACTCCACCTGCAAGGGAGGCAGGCGCTCCAAAAGCAGAGTTAAGAGCAGCCCGTGGCTACACAATGATTGACTCAGCTTCTTTTCTACGGCTCGGGGTGCTGAGCCGGGATCAGAAGAGAAGGGGTTGTTGCCCAGGGCATGTAACTGCGTACAGTTGCATTAGTTCCTAGCATGACAAAGATGGCAGTTGGCTGCATATTTTGGCTGAAGAAAGTCCCTCTCGGGACCTTGCTAGCCATAGCTGAGTGCAGCCAGCATGACTTTGATCCCAGTGTGGGATGGGAACTCGGAACTGGGAATAGTCTTTGACCGAACAGACGCTCTGCAAGGTCCGCCTCCTGTCCCGTTCTCCAGACTAGGAATGTCGTCCCTTCGGCTGTAAACTTTTTACGACTGTGCTTTGTTTCTGAGGTTTCCTCTCCTCAGATGGGTTCAGTCATGGGAGTTTCAGAACGTTCCTGCCTAGGAAATTGCTCAGCCAGAGAAAATGCAGCCCATGTAATTCCACCGCCTTTGGGGCTTTGCTCACAGCTTTTGTTCTGACCCGTTTCCAGCCTTTTGTCCAACACTGCAAGAGTGATGAATGGATTTTCAGTGGGTTAACACTCATGCAGCTGGTGCATCTTCCGCACTTTCATGGACTGCGAAGTGGGTGCTCTTCTAGGAATCCGAGGGGTTAATTAGGTTGAACTGCTGCTTCAGGCTGCAAGGGATGGGCGAAAACTTGTGCAGCTTTCCTGTCTAATGCTGCCATCTTGTGTTGCCTCGAAACCAAGCTAAACATTGCATCGGCAGGTTACTCATCTGCCCCAAGGCTTCCCCCCGGGTGCTTGGGTGCCATTTCCAGCTAGAGCACGGTTTATTTTCCTAACTCTATCCCTGCTGTGATTAGCCACTTAAGAGCAAGGGGAGATAGTCCAGAGCCGGCCAACTTCCTGCTCGGAGCATGTTTGTGCAGAGAGGTTGAAACCAAATGAACTGCAACCTGAAACCTTTTGAAGCCTTTCAATAAATTCCTTTCCAATACAGTCACCGCACCCAGAAAGCAAAGCTTGGCGCACGCAGGCAGAAGAAGTTGGTTGTCTTTGCCATCTGGTTTTCAAACTCGCGGCGAGGAGGCAGGAGTTGGGCCTTTTCCGTCTTCTCAAAGGCAATGCATGGTCTGAAAAGGCAGCGACATGCGCACCGGGTGCTTCTTTCTACAGAGAGCCCTGGAAAGTCCTGGGAGCTAATGTGAGCTACTAGACTGCAGCAGCTGGGGTACGGTTCCAAGAGCAGGAGGTTTCTGTTCCAATTGCTGTCTGCTTGTTTTGATTACTGGATGCCTGCTAGGTCAACTCCACTGCAATGGAGAGTTATCCCCTTCTCCCCCCATCCCTTGGAGGGTAGCCCCTAGCCATGCACCGGCAGGGGTGTTTGAAATGGCACCTGAATCCAAGTTTTCCAGGCTTGGCAAAACTTTGGAGAATCTTTTATAAACTGATTCCCCCACCCAAGTCATGGGCTTCCAGCTTTCAGCCAGGACCAGAAATGCAACAGCGGTAACAGCACAAGAGCAGCTATTCCTGCAGGTTTCCAGACCCCAGTGCAGCCAGGGAGTGCTGGAAAGCACCCACGGCAAACTGCCCGGGTTCACCTGCCGGGCCCGTCTCTAAGCCCACAGGGTGCCGATAAGCATCCAGGCCTTTTGTGCTTCTCTGGACCAAAGCTCTGGAGCGTCTCTAGGGAGCACAGCCTCACTTGGATTTATAATCTCTCTCGTGTGGGTAGCCCCAGTCAGCTGGGACAGGCTGCCACCGTGGCGAAGGCAAAGTCCTAGTGTAAGTGAGCGGGGGAGCTGTGATGCCGGGAGCAAGATCGTGCACGGCAAGAAACTCCTCCAGGTTTGAGAGGGCTGCCCAGCGGTGGTGTTCGGCTGGTGTCGGGGCTGCAGATAGCAGGGTGCCCTCTGGGGGGTCTCTCCGCGGGAGTGGAGGGTGCACATCACCTCCGGCTGTTGCGTCTCTCTTTGCCAAACCAGCCCGTAGGGTCTGTCTATGCTGCAATCAGACCTCTGCAGCTGGCTCGGGCTAGCTGAGTGGGGCTCAGGCTAAGGCGCTGCTTAATTGTGGTGTAGATATTTGGGCTGCAGCCCGAGATCTGGGACCCTCCCAGGGTGCTGGAGTCTGGCGCCCAGCGAGTGGAGTTCTATGCCTGAGTGGTCGCAGCGGCCTGGCATTGATAACCCAGGAGCTCCGGCCAGGTTGTGTTGCTAAGACGTTCCAGGGCTCGTTCCTCTGTGTGTATCCCTCCCTGTGGCAGGGACCAGATCCTCCTGCTGCAGGAGCAGCCACCGGCCCTTTGGTTCCGAGCCTGGAAGGTGCTACCAGGGGTGATGTGGAGGTTTCCACAGGGAAATTGCCTGTCCCTCCCACTTTCCCAGGCTGTGGGGGAAGTCCAGCCACATGGGCCCCATCGCCATGCGCCGTCTCCCCTCAGAGCCCGCAGCACTGAGCTGTAGGCTAGTCGCGTCCCCTCTCTTCCCTGAATGGCCCGTCCCCACCTGACTGCAAACCAGCATAGCCGCCCAACCGTACCCCGCTGGCTCCTACCCTCCTGCTGTTCAAAATCCTGTTCTGAGGCGTTGGCGTTGTGGGGATGGCAGGCAGGGGGCGGAAGGGGAGGCCCCACGCCAGCAGGTCTCACTAGACAAGGTGGAGCTGGAGTTCCTCCTTGGATTCCAGGTTGGCAGGGTGTGACGGCGCGTTGGGGGTCCCCCGTCTCCTGCACCCCGAAATGGCACAAACAGACTGCACCAGCCGGTGGAATAGAGGACGTTTATTGCCTCTCCAGGATACAGCACAGCACAGATGGAATCTGGTCACAGAGCTGGGCTAGGATGCCTCAGCCCCCCTTGAGATGGGGGAGACTGGGCCCCTAAACTCCAGCCCCTTCCCCTAGGCTCTCCTCCATGCTCTCAGACAGTAACTAACTAAATTCCCTTCCAGCCCTGCCCCCCAGTCAGGGCAGCATTCCACCTTCCTTTGTTCCTCTCCATGGGGGGTGTCTGGCCACTGGTTCAACAAGTTTGGCACTACCTTTGCATAGCGAGGTTTTCCCTGCTGGGTCTTGCTCCAGACAGCAGGGGTCACCACAGCCCAGCAAGTACCCCCACTACGTCACAGGGACAGGATGCCCCTCTCTCCATGGGGGTGCACCCCCTGCTCTGCAGCTACCCTGCTAGCAAATGTAGGACAAGGTGTGGGGGGGGGGTCCTATCCCATGTTCCCCTACTAGAAAGAGGCCTCACAACACAGGGCAAGGAAGAGAGGGTAAGAAGGAGGGTCTCTGAGGCGCCATGATAAAGTTTCCTCGCTCCCTCTGCAAAAGATACTTCTGGAGATGCTGTGTGAGGGATTTACTTTTCTGTGCTCTATAGAAAAGACTCCCCCCTCCCCCATCCTTTCAGTCCCCTATCCCACAGCTACCCAAGGATGCCATCTGCAGCTGTCAGTCACCCCAGAGTGCACCCAAATCTCCCTTTTTGGAAGCCTAATTTTCCTAAAGTCCATCCTCTTCCAGGACCTTCACCCCATTATACTCCACACGTCCGATAGAGGAGCAGGTTTGCTCAACTTCCCTGCTGTTCCTGGACGACAAGGCAGGGGGGATTTGGTCACTGAGTTGCTCAGAGTGTCTGGCTTTGAGGTGTGCGGAGCACTTGCCGGCTGCCTCCCACTGGCACTCAGATGGCTGATGTCACCTTTATGGTCTCCTAGGAGAGTTAGAGGGAACCACAGTATGTCTCCCTTTGGAGACGCCTCGAGGGATGGCGCTGGGTGGGCTTGGGGGAGGGTCCCCACGCTTTTGACCTGGCTCTTTGGCAGGGACGGTGTTTCCTCTAGGTGGTGGCTTCCTCACATCCTTCCATATTGCCACGAAGCGTGAAATCCTGCCACCTTATTGTTTTGTTGACATTTGTGCTGGGGTGTGGCTAACGTGTCGTTAGTCACAGCTGGAGGGAAAGGCCCATGTGAGCAGAGATTGTGCGCGTGTGTGTGCGCGTGCACGTGTGTGTGATTAAGTACATAAGCAGAGAGAAATGGAGTTTTGCATTCTTCGGGGCTCCTTGTTAATCCTGTCCTCTCTTTGTTTCCTCCTTCCAGATCTGTCCCGGAGTGCCAGCTTCTCAGAGAAGGAGCTGAAAGAGGCTAAAGCCAGGAGCCAGAAAATCGCAGCCCAGCTAACAAACCCACCCAGCTCCAACTCCAAAGGCGTGCTGCTCTTCAACAGGCGCAAGCAGAGAGTGAATGAGTTCACTTTGGAAAGTGCCGGGAGGAGAGGAGAGGGAGCAGTCGCAAGAGGCAGCCCAGGAGCTCCACAGCGCAGCATCCGAAACCCTGGGAAACTGTGGCATTTGAAAGAGACGTCAGACGGCAGCAAAGAACTGAAGGAATCACTTGGCCCGGAAGACCCTGGAGCGAAGATCTTTAAAAGCAACATGGAAGGACACGAGGAGAGGCCCCACCTAGAGGAAACACCGTCCCTGCCAAAAAGTGAAGTCAAAAGCGAGGAGACCCTCCCCCAAACCTACCCGGCGCCATCACACAAGGCATCTCCAAATGGAGACATACAGCAGGTCCCTCTAACTATCTACCTAAGGGAGAACATAAAGGTGTCATCAACCAACGGAGTGCATGAGCCGAGCGCCAATGGGCATGAATGCACCCCAGTGAATGACAGTGAGAACAACGTACTGGTTTGCAGCAAGGAGCAGACTGCCTTAGTGACTGACAAGGAGAAGAATGGAGAGGTTATCAACAAAGAGCAGAATGTGCTGATGATTGACAAAGAGACTGTTCCGGTTGTCTGCAAAGAGACGACTGTTCCGGTTGTCTGCAAAGAGACGACTGTTCCGGTTGTCTGCAAAGAAACGATTGTTCCGGTGGCCAGCAAAGAGACGACAGTTCCGGTTAGCTGCAAAGAAACGACTGTTCCGGTGGCCAGCAAAGAGATGACTGTTCTGATTAGCTGCAAAGAAACATTTTTTCCGGTGGCCAGCAAAGAAACGACTGTTCCAGTGGCCAGCAAAGAAACGACGGTTCCAGTGACCAGCAAAGAGACGACTGTTCCGGTTAGCTGCAAAGAAATGCCTGTTCCAGTGGTCAGCGAAGAGACGACTGTTCCGGTTAGCTGCAAAGACATGCCTGTTCCGGTGGCCAGCAAAGAGTGGAATGGGACACCCAATAAGCAGTATTATGAAGTTCACCTCACTTTGGCTAAACCCAAGCCTGTGAAGAACAGAACAGCAAGACCGTTTGGAACCCAGTCATCAGTTACAACAAGCCAACCACCAGAGAAAAGCCCTGGGGCAGAACTTCCTCCACCCCCCACCTATGCAGAGACCTTGTTCAGTCCTCCTCCAGTTACTAGGGTCAGGTCACCTCCGGCATATTCAGCCTTGTATCCTAGTGCAGAACAGAAGCCTCTCATTCTGCAAGAGCCTCCGCATGGAGAAAGCAAATCAACACCCCTGAATAAATCAGGAATATTAGAGGAGTCTGTGGCCCGGAGAGCACCTAAAAAACCCATGTTCACCTTTGTTGAAAAGCCAAAGGTGGCTCCTAACCCAGACCTTTTGAATTTAGTGCAGAGAGCGGATATAAGGAGGAAGCAGAAGGGGCAAGGAGAACCAGTCCCCGAGGAAGAACCATTTGCGCTGGGGGCGGAAGCTTCCAACTTCCAGCATCCGAATGCACTGAAAGGTGGGCCTCACCTAGGCTCTGCAGACAATGCCCCGGAGTGGTCTTCCTGCCTGAAGTCCCCACGCCAGACCTTTTGAATTTAGTGCAGAGAGCGGATATAAGGAGGAAGCAGAAGGGGCAAGGAGAACCAGTCCCCGAGGAAGAACCATTTGCGCTGGGGGCGGAAGCTTCCAACTTCCAGCATCCGAATGCACTGAAAGGTGGGCCTCACCTAGGCTCTGCAGACAATGCCCCGGAGTGGTCTTCCTGCCTGAAGTCCCCACGCATCCAGCCCAAGCCGCAAGTGAAACCCAATCAAAACCTAGCCGAGGCGAAAGGGAAAGGAGCGGAACTGTTTGCCAGACGGCAGTCGCGGATGGAGAAGTATGTCATCGAGTCCCCGGCCCATCCCGACTGGGCCAGGTCACCGTCACCCACCATGTCTCTGCCACCCTCCTGGAAGTACGATTCCAATGTTCATGTGACACCCGTGGCCTTCAAACACTCACCCAAGAGCCCAGCCCGGTCAGCAAAAACTCCCCCAGCGTCTTTGTACAACAGCAGCATGGCGGAGAGCGAGCTTTCCCGGAAGGAGCTGGAAATCGCAAAGCAGCAGCCGTACCAGCTCCAGTCCTCTCTGTTCATCCTGTCCCCAGCTAAAGAACCGCCGCGGCTGTTGCCAAGGGGGCCACCACCGCCACAGCCCGCCTTTCCCAACCCTCATTCATACACGAGACACACCTCTTGCCCAACCTCTCCCTTGACGCCGACCCCCGATTTGCGTTCTCCGGCTCTGTCAACTTCCAGCCGGCCAGCAGCTGGTCCTCTTTCTCCATCCACCGGGACTGTGCTGATTGCCCAAGACAGCCGAACAAGCGCTCCCTTTGCATCCCCTTCCAGGGTGTTGTCACCAAGAGCCAAAGGCGTCTTCCAAGCTCCCAGGCCTTCTTATTCCACCCGGAATGCAGGCATTGAACCCCAGGTGTGGAAACCTTCTTTTTACTTCAAGTAAGGGGGTTAAAGTGCACGTTTTTAGGGTTCCCTCAACTGGCCACGATCATCTCTCGCTGGTGATTGAAGTGCTGAAAGCCAAAACCAACCCAACCGAAATAGCTTGGAGGTTTCGAATGCAGAGAATGTGCCCTTCCGTAGCCGGCCCTCCTCTGCCAGCTGTTGGCTCCTGATTGTCCTGAGGATGTTTGATTGGGCACAGGGAGCAGCGTCTGGGCTGTATCTGATGCAGGGCCTGGCCGGGGGAGGAGACGTGCCGTGTAGCCTAACGTCTACAGAGAAAGCTAGCTGTTTGCTGAGCCCGCCCAGCCGAGGCTGTGTCGTGAGAGCTGGGCAGTTTTGCGGCCTGGGTTCCGGAGGGAGAGGGAAGCAGCGTGTGCGTGTAGCACAACCGCTGTGCTTACCAGGAGCCCGCGTGTGCAGAGCCTAGAGGCTCCTTTCGAGAAGCTTCACAGAAATAGCAGGAACTCGGGTGCCTTTGCTCTTGTCTGGCAACCTGACGGCGCATCAGACCTCTGGCTCCGCCTTCTTCTCGCCTTCTGAATTTCCACCTCTGCTTTGCAAAGCCTTTTGCGTGTTCTCTCTGCAACTTCACTGGCCACCCGGCCTCTCCTCTCCACTCCACTGACTCCACCTTACCAAAGGGCTTAGGGCCAGAGGCCTTTCCATCCAACACCTGTTTCTGTCTCCTTTCTTCTCCTGCTCTTAAGCTTCTTCTGTTTTCTCCTGTTCTTTGCCTTAACCAGAGTCACTCCTGGCCCCCCAGAGCGCAGGGAGAACCAAAGAAAGACGTCATGGGGGCACTGGGATGACAGGAGAACCTTGCTATCTCCAGGGGCCTGTAGTTCCCGTTCCCGCAAAGACTCAGCACCAGACCTGTTGGGTGTACAAGAAACGGGCTTCGCCTGCTTTGAACTCCCTTGGGACTGCAGGGTCAGTGCTGTTGGGCTCTGAGGAGGGGCAGGGCAGAACAGGGGCATTGGTCCTGCAGCCAGCTGGGGTATGTTGGGAAAAGCCGTCCCGTTAAAGGTGGCACAGCAGCTGTGGGAGGCTTGGCCACAGGGGTCTTAGTGCCATACTAAGATCACGGCTGCTGCTGCAGGGTGGGTTTTTCCATGCCATTCACACTCTGGGACAGAGGGTAATCTCAGGGATAAGGGGACGTCCGCGAAGTTCCTCTGGATTTACTGAAAGCAGAACCTGGCTCCTCCAGGACAGAGACTCGTGCACTAGCACCCTGGCCTTGACTCAACAAACCCAGCGCAGGTCGGGCTGCGTTATCCCTCCACTGCGGACTAGCTTGGGCGGTCACACACCAAATCTCGCCTCATCTGCAGCAGATCCCTCTGGGCAGCTTCACGAGGTTCCGGGTACGGGGCTGGAAAGGTTTCCTCATCCGGCCAAGAGTAGCGTTCATCCCGGATCGAAGCCTGACATTGCAATGCCTTTGACTAAGCCCAGATGTTCCAAGCAAAGGTGGATTTAGGTGCCCAAAGGTGGATTTAGGTGCCTAAAGGTGGGCACCTAAATCCGCAGGGGAGCATCTAAATCAAGGGGGTGTGATTTGCAGAGGGGTTGAGCCCCACAAGTCCCACTGCCGTCAGTGGCAGATGTAGGGGCTGAGTAGAAGTAGCCAGAAAATGGGAGGGAAATTTGGAGAACTGCTCAAGGCAAGCTGGGGAAAAAAACAGCTTCCTCTCTATTTGCTGCTGAAAGGGGACACGGATGGGGAAGAATTTCATTCAGTCCAAACCCCCAATTTTCCACTCAAATTAGTCTGGCCAGCTCATTTTTGACTAGCCTCGGTCTGAGCACTTCTATGCTTTACATTTAGTTGCCTAAATTGCCAGTCTCGTGTCGGGATTTGGGTCTGCAAGCATTGCCTTTAATGAATCCCTCCTAAGCACTCCCAATGCCCAGTAGAATTCATGCTGGGTAGCAGGAATTGGCGCCATATACTAAAATGCCAGAGAAAAAAGCCCTTTCACAGACACCTTGTCATACGAGAGATTTATTCACACCCACTGGGACAGTATCTTTCCAGCCCAGTGCAGCAGAAGAAGCTGCCATTGGGGGAAGCAAGCTACCTGCAAAATAACAGTCAGGAACAGAAACGTAGAGCTGTGCCAAGAACTGGTCTGTTAAAAAGCAGCTGGCGAGAAAGGTCTCCAGTTAACCCGGCACCTTAGAAGGTGTCTCTGGCACGCACCGTAATGTACAGCCAGCTTCCGTTAGGCGGTTTGCTAGTAAAATGACCATGGAAAATTCAGAAGCAGGAGCCCTCTTTGTGCTCTTGCTCCAAATGCTCCAACCTAATCTGCTTTGTCTGTGATCCCGCTAGCTTGTCTGACACTCACTGGCCAGGCTGGGGGTGAAAAGAGCGAAAAGCTGGAGTCAGCATTCACTGGCAGGGATGCTGGTGAGCCAATTGCTGGCTGGGAATTAGCATCAGGAGCAGACGGGGTAATGAAACGTTCCTCTGCAGGGCAAAGCGATGATGTGTTCCTTACGGGCCATGGGAACTGCCAGGACCACTTACCGGACCCGGTACCGGTTCACTGGCCAGGGCCATGGAGAGCAGTGGTTTTCAAACTATAGGGCGTAGCCCAGCACAGTCGCACCATGCCAGGCCCTAGGTCACCTTGTTGTAGGGGGACCCGGTGACTAGTGAGGGTGCTAAGGCCGGCTTCCCGCCTGTCCTGACCCTGTGGACCACGCTGCATCCCAGAAGCAGCCAGCAGCAGGTCTGGCTCCTAGGCAGGGATCCAGGGGACTCCGTGTGCTGCCCCCACCCTGAGCACTGGCTCTACGCTCCCATTGGCCAATTCCTGGCCAATGGGAGTTGGGTCTGTGTGGATGAGAGCAGCATTCAGAGATGCTTTGATGCCTCCACCTAGGTGCCAGACCTGCTGCCGGCCGCTTCCAGAGCACATTGTGGTCCACGGTGCCAGGAGAGGCCGGAAGCTGCATTAGCACCCCGCTGTGCCGCTGACCGGGAGCCGCTGGAGGTAAGCCCATGCCCAACCCATGAGCACCCCCCACCTGGCTCCTGGGAGCAGCCTCCTCATTCAGGTCCCTACCAGCAGCAGATGAGAGCCTGCCCAGTTTCCCTGCTCTGGTTCAGCGCAGCCAAGGCCTCCAAAATAGTCTCTGCTCCCCCAGATGGGGAGATACAGAGTTCTGCTGAGGATACCAGAGTTGTGTTTTGCTGCAGGATACCGGTAAACTCTCCCCGCTTCCCCCCACTGACATAGAAAAGGTTGGTCCCAGGCAGATTTCCAGACTCACTAGCCAGAACCGTGACCTGAGGAAGCCCAGACACGCTTGCCAGCTACACTGGGTTTCTAGCTGCTGCCTCACCAGGGCAAACCTCATTTCCTGGATAGAGGATGAGTTTGTGCAGTGTCGCGTTGGGTGGGTGCGGAGGTTCTGGGCCAGTGACTCACAGCACATCCTGGAACAAACGCAGCTGAAGGATCGTTCCAGAGAAAGGTGCCTTCCCTGCACTTTGGAACATGTGCGTCAGCAACATAGCCTATGATCCCAGCTGCTGCAATAACCCAGAGCAGGAGGCTAGTAAAGATTTTGTAGTTCACTTGGTCGCTCCACTTTTGCAAGGTGTCTTTTCGACTGTGCTTTTATTTCCTCTTGGTCTGTTTACTGCCTCTGAATACACTCACAAATCTGCAATCTGTCTCTGCTCTTTCCTCTGTATTCTCGGCACACTGTGTAGCAAAACACCTGCCTTGGGCTGTCAGGGTTCCTATTTATGATTATATGGTGGGTGTGTGTAGCATCGCCAGCATCGAACCTACTGTGCTAGGTGCTGCACAGATAATGAATCAAAAGATGGTGCCTGCCGCAAGGAGCTTCTCTGTTCTAACTCCCAGGATAAAAAAAAGGAGAGGGGGGGGGGGGGGGGGGAGGATAAGATAGAGGTCTACAAAATCATGACTGGTGTGAAGAAAGTGAATAAGGAAAAGTTACTTACTTGTTCCCATAACACAAGGACTAGGGGGGGGGTCACCAAATGAAATTAATAGGTAGCAGGTGTAAAACAAACAGATGGAAGGAGTTCTTCATGCAGTGCATAACTTGTGGAACTCCTTGCCAGAGGATGTTGTGAAGACCAGGACTTGAACAGGGTTCAAAAAAGAGCCAGATAAATTCATGGAGGTTAGGTCCATCAATGGCTATTAGCCAGGATGGGCAGGGATGGTGTCCCTAGCCTGTTTGTCTGAAGCTGGGAATGGGCGACAAGGGAGGGATCACTTGATGCTTCCCTGTTCTGTTCATTCCCTTTGGGGCGCCTGGCATTGGCCACTGTCGGCAGGCAGGAGAATGGGCTCGATGGAGCTTTGGTCTGACCCAATGTGGCCGTTCCTATGGTCTCCATCACCACCCCCTCACAGGCAGCAGATGGGGGAGGGGAGGAGGCTGATGCTATGCCATGCTTAGGTATTGGCTTTGCTGGTGCTCTAGCCATGGAGAAGCACAGTCGGTCATTTACTTTAAGGAAGGTCATTTAAGCTATCCCTGATGTTGTGGGCCTTGACAGAAACTGGTGGTGATCCCCTAGACTGGAGGGCTGAAGCTGCCCCTTCCCCCGCCCTGGAGGGGCCCAAGAACACTGCCCACGGTCAGCGGCTGAGGAGATTGCGCCTTGCCTCTGCTGCACACGCCCACTTCAAATCCCAGCCCGGCTGAGGGAGGGCCTGCCCCAGCGTGCCCCTCGGGACTTTCCCGTGGCTGAGGAGAATTTTTATTGTGGGTCTCGGTGACACTTTTCTGTCTGCCCTCGGCGGGCTCTGGGACATCAGTCCAGCGTGGCAGCCCTGGCTGCACCTGCAGGGGGTGCCCAGGTGCCAGGCATAGCGCCTCTCTGCAGGGCTCGCTGGCTAGTCTAGTTCCGGGGCCGCACACAAGTGAGAAGCAAAAAAACCCCCCAGGTCCTCACTGGCGTGGCCCCCAACTGAGCAGAACGGCACTCCCCACCTTCCCCTCACACCCCAGAGCCTAGGGGGCCCAGGCTAGTAGATTTTGTGTGCTCCAGACCCACGGGGGGTGACAAGGGTGCTCCCCAATGCTGGGCTGGTGGGGAACCCCGAGCCTCGGTGGCCTGATCCAGGCAAAGCCGGGAGCTGCATTTGGCCCACGGGCCTTAGGTTCCCCATCCCTCCCAAGATGCCTGACGAATGCTTTCTGGGGTGTGGCTGAGCCAGGGCTGGGAGGTGTCTGCAGCTCCTAGCGTGACGAGGGGACTTCCCAGAGCTGCGGTATTGCTGGCAAAGGAAATTGCACCCCCTACACACTGTCCAACCCTGAGCCGTTTCGGTGCTTGGCGTAGAGGCTGGGCATCCCTAGTAGAGGAGAGGTTCTGTGCTGCCGGGAACAGCAGCAGGTGGCAAGCAGGGCCAGGGGAGGGAGAGGAGGATTGGCAGGACCAGCAGGGAAAGCGTCCCCAGGGTTCCTCTTTAGCTCCCACGTGGCACGGCCCAACATCAAACTGTCCCTGGTGGCTATGCCCCGCCGCCGTGGGGGGGTGAGTCCTGGCTGTGAGGATGCACCCTGCGGATGATGTGCTGCTAGACCGGCCGTGGGCAGCACCCGAGCAGAGAATGGATGTCAAATGCCTTTTCCATCAGAACGTCTGTGCTCTGAAACCCCCGTTTCAGCGATGAATTTAATGCTCTGATCTCAGCAAAACCCCAAGAAATAGCCTGACTTGGCAAGTAAACCACATCGTTTAATGCATTAAAAGGTTAGAAAACATGACCTGCGAGGGAAGGCTAAAGGAGCTGGGGTTGTTTAGTTGGGAAAAGAGAAGACTGAGAGGGGACACGAGAGCAGCTTTCACGTTCCTAAGAGGGAAGCGGGAGGAAAAATTATTAATGTCTGAGGACAGGACAAGAAGTAAAGGGCTTAAATTGCAGCAAGGGGGTTTAGGTTGGAGATAAGGAAAAACTTCCTACCTGTCAGGGTGGTGAAACACTGGAATAAGTTGCCTAGGGAGGTTGTGGAATCTCCATCTCTGGAGATATCGAAGAGCAGGTTGGACAGACACCTGTCAGGGACGGTCTTAGACGGTGCTTGGTCCTGCCGTGAGGGCCAGGGACTGGACTTGATGACCTCTCGAGGTCCAATCCAGTGCTCGTGTTCTAACAGAATCGGAGCATGTCCCATGCCGAGGGCAGAGGCACTAGGAGGCATGAGTGCAGGGAAGCCAGGCCTTATACAGCTCTGCAGAAGGAACAGGACATGAGGCTCAGTGGGGACCGAACCCCGTGATCACTGGTCAATGGACGGCCTCTCCTGGGCTTGGGCTGAGGCCCAGGGTGCAAGAGCTGAGCTCAATCCTGTGACCCACGAGCTCCCCCTGAGCAGGGTCAATCCATGGGAAAGGCCTTGCCCCTACTCGTTTCCTCCTGCTTTACCGGCCCAAGGAAATATTGTCCCGTCCGCCCCCTGTGCTCCAGGCCCTGCCCCGTTCTGCGTCCCATCCCTGAATTGCACCCGGGCTGCTGGGCTCCTGCCTGCCTCTCTCTGGCCTTACCACCCTACAGCCAGCCTGTGCGACCAGGCGCTCCCCCGGTGTCAAGGAGGCCTCCATGCTTCTAGCTGCATGCATGCTTGGCATGGGATGAGGCATGAGCTGGACAGGAGCAGCCGTCCTGCTCCCCCTTCTGTCCTCTGGCCCCCCCTCCAGCTCTTAGCTTAGTGGGGCGCCATCTCTGGCCATTGGCGTAGGACTGCATTGGCACCATTCCCTGCTGCCGGCCCTCCCCATGCACTCTTGGGCGTCTGGGCACAGCCTGACACCAGCCAAGCCAACTCTCCTTCTGAGAATGGGGCCCGGAGAGAGGGGGAGGCAGGAGAGGGAACAATGAGTCACCACGGTGATTTATTCCTCAAAAAATGAGGTTTACAGGATCTTGCGAAAAAGGGTTTTTTTCCAATAAATGGCCCCGTCTACACCTCTTCTTAGGGTTGCCAGGTGTCCCGTATTCACGCAGACAGTCCGGTATTTTCACCTCCTGTCCGGTAAAAAAATGCAGATGTCCGGTATTTTCTGATTTTTTTCCCCCCCCGGCCAGGAGGCGAAAATGCTGGGCACCTGGTAACCCTACAAACACTCAGCGCCCGGCCTTTCTTCCCCTGCTTTCCTGGTTCTGCAAGGAAGCTGTCTTCTGACTCCATCAGAAAAACAAGATGGCCGCTAGCAAAAAGCTTCAGGCTTTTCTTAAAGGGGTCATGCCATTTTATTTTGCTTAACTCTCGGGGTCCTTTTTTTTTTTTTTTCTCTTTTTTCTCAACAACTTTGGTCTCCCCCCCCCTTTTTTTGTTTTTTTGGGTGGGGGTGGGGGGGCAGGTATTCGGTATTTTTGTTTCAACCA